TTAGTTAGTTAAATGAAATGGAAGTTGCAGCCTAGGAGAGGTGACAAGTAAAGACATGAAGGGTAAAAGAAGGGATGTACATGAGCCATTTTCGTTGAGATATTAAAGAATGGAAAATTCTTAGCTCCAATCTTGGTTTGACGTAGAAGTTCCAACCATCTACATGTCAGTTTGTTATTAGTGGACTCAATTATTTTTCTCCCCCTTAATATTTAATGTTTTTATTTATCCTAAATAAGTCAAAAATTAAAATATAAAAAGAAAGGTCAACTCACCCATAGAAAACTGACATGTGGCTGGTTGGAGTTTTTACATTCAACTAATATTGGAGCTAAGAATTATCCTCAAGGAATTACTATATTGGAGAGATGGATCCAATCAAAATACGATTGAACTTGGCATGCACTGGTAGCTAGGCTAGCTGTGTATAGGGATGGGATATTGGTTCGGTTTGGATTAAACCGAACCTAAAAGTTCGAAACAAGCAACCCTTGTTGAAACGAACCGAACTGTTCGGTGCCGTGACATTTTCGATTAACCAAAACCCATTAAGTTCTAAGTTTGATTTCAAGAAACCGAGCACCGAAAAAAAAAGTATTTTATTTAAATCAAACCATAAACAAAGAATCTAACACTTCATCAGCAACAAAATGCTATATATAAACCAAACAAACACGACTTCCACACACAAGTACAATAAAACTTCACTTTCTGACTGTGGAAACAATGAGAGGAAAGAAAGAAGAAGAAGAAGCTGTATTATATTGTAGGTGTACTGTCTGCGACCCACCGCGACTGCCCTTAAAAAATAATGTCACGTTTGAAGGCCGTCACCAATAAAAATTCTGCAAGCATGGGGCATATGTGAAAATCGATCAATCTGTAATTCTATATTTCTGTCCCCATAGAAGAAAAATCCCCATTTCTACCACAGTAATGGTTTCAAGGGGATGAAGGAAAGATCAACCGAAAGAATTTTCTTCAATCAGTTTGGTCGATCATCTTTTGCACCTACTCGGGGTGGTTTTGATTACTAATACAATATACAAGCACATGCATTTTCAAAAAAAACTCTTTAACAAAGCTAGCTGAATATTTCCCGCTTTTGTTCTCTCGTTATTACACAGGAAATGATAGGGTACAAAACTTCAAAATGCAAAGCCTATAACTTTTGTTTTGTCCAAACACTTATACGAATCATACTACTCTTGCGTGATTATATCACGAATGGTGAGACACGAATTCTGCAACTTCTGTACCCCTGAATTTTGTTAAATGAATGGGTAGCCGTTAAAATAATAAATGTTTCGAAAAATATGTACATCCTTAAAAACAAATGTATCAACTCGCTCAAATTATTGGTAGATAATATAAGAAAATGAATTTTATACCATTACTAATGGAAAATGGATAGATTGTCTTTGCCTAATATTTGTTGTCAATTAACTTGAAGCTGTGGCTGGAATCCAAACTTGCTACTGTATCGTGGGGCCGTAGAGTTGTGGAATAATGCTCAGAATGGATTTTTTTTTTTTTGAAAAGTAGTACCAACTTTTATTCCACCTTTAAAAAACGCAAAGCAAGGCAAATATATTCTTACAGGAGAACAGAAATTAGATCAAGAATATTAATCCAGTCATCTGGTAACCTATCTCTCGCTTTTGATCGTGCCACCCAATCCGCTTTGACATTAGAGGACCTCGGAATTTCTTCCACCGAAATTGCAGGATTAGTCCGAAGAATATTGACCATTATTCTAATCCACGCTGCACATCTCCAGGGCCATCGCGACTGGCAATTTTTAAGGGCCTTCACAATCATCTGACAGTCAGTTTGTACAGTACAAACCGATCCATATTCTTGAGCTAATTTAATTCCTTCTAAGAGAGCCTTTGCTTCTGCTTCAATCGGGGTGGAACAAAGAAGATTATCAGCTCTCCCATCATACACTTGTCCATGGTGGTTAACAACAACAACACCATAAGCCGGCGACTGGGGGTCGCTAAAGAACGACCCATCACATTGAATCACTATCGAGTGATCACTTGGCGGGGGATTCGTAGTAGGGTGGGATCCCCTGAGCTGAGTGGGACCATTCGAATCTTGAGGTGGGGCCCTCGGACATGCATTCCATTCCGTGAGTTCTCTGTAGGTTTGCAGGCATACATTTGGTGGCTAGGGTCTTCTATTCTTGAAAGTGCACTCATTCCTAGCCTTCCAAATGTTCCAACAAAGGAAGATAATATGAGTAAGCGAGTTTAGGGGAATGGTATCTTTGAGGGCGCATAACCAGTCAAAGAAAGAGGTGCCTTGAGGAGGACTCGACAGGGAGGGGAAAATGCTATTCCATGATTCTCTCGCATGCGGGCAGTCGAAAAGGCAGTGGTTAAGGGACTCGAACGGATCCTGACACACTTGGCAATTCGGGTTAGGGGCACATTTACGTTGGAAGAGTCTTGCCTTCGTTGCCAAACCATTTCTGGAACACCTCCATAGAAAGAACTTAAGCTTGGGCGGGATGTTCAGCCCCCAGATCCATTTCCACCTTTCCTCACACCCTGTAGACTGGATATTAGTATTGATTTTATGAACTGCGTGGTAGGCCGTCTTTACCGAGAATTATCCCTCTCTAGTGAAGCTCCAAGCCCAAAAATCATCAGCACCCTCCTCCCCAATTGGGACTTTCAGGATAGCTTCCACTTCTTCCCTCGTCACATGACCTTGCAGCAAATCCAAATTCCAGCTCCTATTAACTGGGTCTATCCATTCCTTGACCCTCAGGTTCTGCTGGGGTCCGCTTCCTACAACAAAATTTTGCATGCTCGGGATCCATGGATCTTGTCCAAACCATGTATCCTCCCCTGACCCGATTACTCTAATAGCACCCATCTTGATAACTTTTTTAGCCTCCCACAGACTCGCCCAGATCCCTGATGCTCTACTTCCTTTTTTTGACTGCATGAAGTCTCCTCTCGGGAAGTACAATCCCTTCAGGAGCCTACACCATAGGGCATCCGGGGAATTAAGGATTCTCCACGCTTGTTTCGCCAACAGGGCCAAGTTGAAATCTTTAAAGCTTCTAAATCCCAATCCCCCTTCTGACTTCGGGGCACACATAATCTCCTTCCTACACCAATGCATCGTGCTTTTTTGCATTGACCCTGACCAGAAGAAATTGGTGAGGAGGGAATCCATCTTTTTGGTGAGGTTAACCGACAGGTTAAAGAGGTACATGATGTAAGAAGGAATAGCTTGGATGACTGCTCAGAATGGACTTGAAAGAGCACTCATTCACAGGCCCAATTCATGATCCCAATAAGAAAGAAAATCCCTGATGATATGATATATCAGCCAGCCCACAACCCCATTAGATCCAAACTCAAAATATATATGCAAAAATATATCAAAAGAAGAAAATAGGACTGTAGACTGTAGAGGAGGAGGAGGAGAATTAACGGGGGAGAGAAAAGAAACTGCAGAGCAGACGGTGGAAGCTAGCGTGTGACTTGCAGTGAGTTTGACAGACACGTGTCAGTCTTTGGGCCCAAGGAATCTCTGGGAATTAGGAAGGAAGGACGCATCATGAGCAATTGAGCACCCAAAGCAGCCGGTCTACTCTGCGTCTCTGCGTATAACTAGTTTTTGGATTTATTCTTTTAAGTAGGATTAGATTTCTAAAAAGAAAATAAAAAAATTGGAGAGCTCAAATGGAAAGAGATATTTGCAGTGCTCAAATGGGCCAAGGCCCAAAACAAAGAATTTAAATATTGGGAATTGCATTATGTAGGCAAGGGAGGGAGACCAGGCTTTTTTTTTTTTGTTATGAATCGGGCATGCAACGGGAAAGCAAAGGCGTCTAGCCTAGCCGGTCAGATAACTTGTTTTGTTTTATTTGCACTCCACATTTTTATTTTGCATTTCCCAATCGGGCGCATTTCGTTAAAAAATTCCCTTTTCCCCCCTAGCTTGATTTCTAATTAAAAGAAATCCGGAAAAAGATGAAGATCTTAGAATGGGTTGGACCATTAATTGGGTTTTTTTGCCCCTGACCGACATAAGTTTCTTGACCTGGTTCGGTCCAACGACGAGCTGAATTAAATGGGCTGGACCAATTATTGTTCTCAATGTGTCGTTGAATGCTAGTGAGCCTGAATTTATCGCTAACATCTATTGAATATCAATTTAATTAATTCGTGCGTCAATGTAAATTTACTAATCGTAATTCAACAATTTCGTTTCATTAAGCATATACTGTCATCTCCAATTCTTCTCTGGCTTTGTTAATCTCATGTATTTCACCTTCTACCTAAAATGACACGTACGTACGTTCTACTATTGATCTCGTCATCTCGTAGTCAAATATAATGACTTGTGTATTTTTTTATTAACGAATAATTCATTTGATACTAGATAACTCATATAAAATTACGAACAACTCAAGCGAACAATGCGTTTATTATTTTCTGCGACCATTAAAATTAATGAGAATTGAGAACCCTAAAATTATTATTGTGAATAATAAGAATGATAATAATTAGATCTTTCATAGAAAAATATATTGACAAGGAGGAGGAGTATAGGTCAGTCAGTGTCGCACGTGCTCCTGGGGACTCTCCCTAACCAGTCCTCTCCTCTCCCTCCCAAAATTCAATGCCTCTTTAATTTAATTTAATTTCCCCTCTTTTTAGTTAACAATTTCCCCTCTTCCCCCTTCTTCTTCCTCACTCACTCACCTCCATTACTTACACACAACAACAACAGTTCCCCCCTCTGCAACCATTTGTCTCCTTCTTCCCTCCATTATCACCCTCTCTCTCTTTCCACTCTCCATTTCTCTGCAAACCCATCAAAACCCATCTCCCCATTCCCCCAACAGTAACAACAACTCCACCTCCACGATGATGGACGCATCAGCAGCAGCACCACCCAAGGGCGGCGGGAAGGTAGGCGTCGGGGTCGCCGTCGCCGCCGCCGTCGTCGACGACGACATGGACGACGGAATGCAATGCAGCGACCACCCTTCCCGCACCAACCCTGGTGGGATCTGCGCATTCTGCCTCCAGGAGAAGCTCGGCAAGCTGGTCTCCTCTTCCTTCCCGCTCTCCGTTCGCGCCTCCACTTCCTCCTCCTCTTCTCCCCCTTCCTTCAGATCTGACGCCGCCGCCGCCGCCGCCCCATCAGCGGCAGCTTCCGCGGCCGCCACTTCACTCGCGCTGGCTGTGCGCCCGTCGAGTTCCTCATCATCCACCGCGTACGGGTGCGCACGAGGTGTTCGACGGAATGACGCAATGAGTAATGGTAATGGAAATGGAAATAATGGTCAGTACGGCAGCAGCGAGTACTACAGCTCTTCCCTCCGCAAGGCGAGGATCCCGTTCCTGCTCGCGAAGAAGAAGAAGAAAATCATGGCTGCGTCGTCTTCATCTTCCGAGAATCAGAGCGAAGCGGTGTTCAAGCGCAGCAAGTCCACCGCTGCTCCGGGGAGAAGATCCACCCATTTCTTCGACGACGGCGGTGAGGATTTCAGCCCTCGCAAGCGTGGTGGGTTCTGGTCCTTCCTCTACCATTCCTCCTCCAGCAATGTCAAATCCAACCTCAATCCTTCATCTGCTGCAAATCACAAAAGAATCGATCATCAGCAGCACAAGGTTTCCTCGCTTCCCGCCGCAGCAGCATCAGCTGCTTCAGCTGCTGGTTCCAGCACGGCGTCGTTTAGCTCTGCTTCCTCTGTAAACCCTCTTCCGCCTGTGCGGAAGGATAGATGTTTAGGAGTTGGGGGATCGTCTCTTTCGCGAAGAACAGAGATGGTGGTTGTGGAAGAAGACGACGAAAGCCCCAATAGCCAAGCTACGAGCTCAAACTCTGCTGCTTCGTCGTTCGAGAGGAAAGTGTCTCGATCTAGATCCGTTGGGTGCGGGAGCAGGAGCTTCTCAGGGGATTTCTTCGAGAGAATCTCAACTGGATTCGGCGACTGCACGCTAAGAAGAGTCGAATCGCAGAGGGAAGGCAAATCGAAATCTTCAACATCTGGTGGAGCTATGAAGGAAAGGGTGAAGTGTGGCGGAATCTTTGGTGGGTTCATCATAACTTCATCATCTTCTTCTTCATCGTCATCATCGTACTGGGTTTCATCGTCAGCTGAGGAAATGAATGGGAAATCTGGCGGCAATCATTTGAGCCATGGAAGGACGAGGAGCTGGACCTGGGCATTTGCTAGCCCTATGAGGGCATTTGGAGGAAGCAACAAGCTGTCTGGTAAAGAGAACGGGAGGAGAGATCATCATCAGGTTATCAGGGAAACTGGGAATAGGAACTCTGCTGCTGCTGCTCCAAACTTGGCTGCCATTCCTTCATTGTTAACTGTGAGCAGCTAAAAGTAACAAAGAGTGATTGAACGAATCTATTTCTTCTGTTTGCTTTCTGGGTCTATAATCTATATCACATCGCTACTACACAGTACATTTTCGGCTAAAGTAGTAATCTTTTTGTTCATTTCCTTATCAGTTTGCCCTTGATTTCTTGTTTGCTGCAATCTCTACAATGTTCAGTTTCCACTTCCACAAGTGTAGTTTCATAACACCAACCATTTCCTTCAAGAGTTCATGGATTGGATCATATCTAATTAGATTCCTATCTAGTCACATTTCTCAACAGTCGTTTGTTATGTCCTTTTAGATGCAAATTCCATCGAAAACCAAAAACCCAGGTGAGCTGATTCCCTGAGGGAAGCTTGAGTGTGACCACTTGGGTTTAATGCCTGGAGTTTGAGAGACAGAGAGAGAAAGCATTAGTGAGTCCTTTGACCAAGAATACTTTCTCTGTCTCATCATCTCTCTTCTTCTCTTGTTGTCTCTGTGAACGTGATGCAGAGATGCCTTTGCCAGCTTTAGCTCGGCTTGTATTTACTCCAATTCTTTAACCTCTCTCTTGTGTAGTTGAGAAGAGTTGTTTCAGCTTCAACAGCTCTGGTTTGTAATTTGTTTATTAGTTGTTCTTGTATTGTAATGCTAAAGGCCTGAAGGCAGAGTGATCATCGTGCAATGGCAAGTTTGTATTATCAGAAGCAACTCTCTCTCTCCCCCCCTATCTCTGCAGAAGCCTTGGATCTCTCACATGGGCACACATGTCTGGTGATTGCTCCCTCTCTCTCTCTTTCTCTGTATAATAAACACTTGTTGCTGTGGGCATTAAATATACTGTGGATGGCGGTGAGGCAGTAGATTTATATCGAAAGCTTGAAGGAGGGATTGCTTCTTTTACTTGCATTTTACCATCCATGATCCATCTCATCTTGACACCAATACCCATATGGTGAAAGACAATAAATTGTGAGCTACTACCCTACAAAATAGTGGTGGGGTTTGGGGTACTCTGGTACTTGTCTCTTTTCTTACCAGTTTCTCGTTAGCAGTATGTGTACATCAGGAATTGAGTTTTCATTTTCAACCTGAATAGTGAGTCCTCGTCTCTGACATTACAACCTAGCAGCAAGTGAGGTGGTAGATGGTAACTAATTTGACCTACCCCGGGTCTGACCCTGTAACCGGGGAGTGACCAAGCCGAACTGAAGTAGTAGGTTCGAACAAGCTGGTTCGATCGTATCTCTATCTACTTTGTACCACAACTACTTAAGTCAGCAAGATGAGGAATCTCTCCATTCAGATTGGATCTTAGATCCTTGAACTTATCTTAGATTCTTGCCATCAGCACCTTGCTTGTATACCATAATTACTTGAATGAATGAATACCCACTTTTGGTTAGAAGTTGGAACCTAACACCCAATACCATGTCTAGAGCTTGGTCAGTTTGGAGGAAGATAAAGCCCATGTAAGCATATTATCTGTGAGCCAAAGCCCATGTATATAAGCCCATATTATCATGCAAAAAACTTGAAGTTTAGGAAACACAATTAAGCATGGTAAGCTCATTTTCTTACCATCAGTTATAGCATCATTGGTGTCGTCTTCTGAACTCGACACCTTGATTAACACTAAAACACGATCATCACTACCCGCTCCATACATTTTACAACACAATGCTTCGTTATCGATCCACCACCTCTTTTTTGGGCACAACCTTTTAACATGATGTGGGAGTCATGAAAGGTCTCAAAGTATATTTACATGATCAAGTTGAAAAGGATGGGTGAAAGATGAAAACAAGGACCCTCATGTGAAAGTCAGGGAGGAGCTGAACGAGAAAACGAAGTATGAGGAAATGATGAAGTGGAAGAAAACAAGGAGGTGGTGATGGTGCTGGGCGGCCATTAAAATGGAGTAATAAGTAGAAGAAGAGGGCAAAGGAAAGAAGACAAATTGGAAAGGCTGCATTTGGGGGACACTGGTTATTGGAAGCAAGACCATTCATAATAAGAAAGTAGGACTAGGACCCCTTCAGTTTAAGGGACATCATGTACTTTTGTTCCAAACTTCCTCCCCAACCCATATCTCTTTCATTTCTCACCATCGTAGGCAAAGTTAGAGGTCCTTTTGGGAACTTGCATAATAGAGAAAGCAAACAAGCCTTTTTGGTTGGAGCCCTTTTCTTGCTTTTCCTTCTTAACATCTTTTTGGAAGCCAAAAGGCAAGATTGCAAGCAATCTGTGTCCTTGGTATTAGTAGATCATTATGAATCTCGACTATTTTTTCCCACCAATCTTTGAGGTTCTCTCCCTCTCTCTCTCTCTCTCTCACTCACGTGCTCCTGGGGCGTTGGTCTGAGGAGATGGGGATACTATCGCAATGATAAAAGGACCCCATTGTTGGAAGGAAAATGTTGTTTTATGGAGGAAAGTGTGTATTGGGAAGTGTGATAAATATGTTATTTTATTGGTTATGTAATAGTTATAGATATTTTATTTATTTAAAAACCATGATTTAACCACAATTAATTAAAAATAGAGACTTTATAATAATTGATCAAGCATTCTAAATACCCTACTTTCTCGGCATAGCCTCTGGCACAGTTTCGTAATCCTTGATATTACACTCAAATCTATCAACACCCAATTAATAAAGAAACCTACTTAAGTATTAATTTAATTAATTTGAACAATGGAGACCATAAAAAAGCCTACTTAATCTAAACTTAGGTAGCGAAGCGAGAGCGTCTAGCGTTTATTTTTCAAAAACTCAATATTAAGAGCGTGAACAGAGCGTTAATATTATATTATTTTAATATATAAATAATAAATATATTATTTTTATTATAAATAATGTTAATACCAAACGCTTCTACGTAGAATCGTGCTTTTGACCGCATTAAATTGCCATTATCTTAGTTATGAGGATTAATACCGATTATTAAAAAAAATAGATAACAAATTTTACTTATTCTTATCCTTATCTATAACCCACGACCATCTCCTTCTCATTTTTTATTATGCTTCATTTTCTCATTTTAACTAAACACAATAAATATGATGTCGTGAGCCCAAAAATCTTGTTACGAATCAATTCGGTGGGTGTGTGGCGCCCGTTTTCCTCATCGTATCTCAGTTAATTTGGAGCGACTCACGAGTTGACCTTCATTACAACTCATAATAATATTTGTCTTCATCCATAATTATCCCCTCAAATTTTTCCCTACCTCTCTTAAAAATATATTCTTAGTTAATTAATAACTAAGAGGACGTAAACCATTACTCTTCCATTTTGTAATTATGTTAACAAATAATAATAGTTTATTAGTTAATCATCTATAATAGGTGATCATAAAATATAACTTAATTAATTTCTTTATAGCAAGTGGTAGTGGAGAACTTTCTCTCCAAATTGGAGGGGTGGGTTCTACAGCAAATTTTATCTCCTGTTTTCCCTTCCTTTGCACTTTTCCTTCCTTAAAAAACAGAGGAAAGTTTATGGAAAACTGTGCTTTCCATCCCACTTTTCCCTCCCCTCCCCTTTCCTCCCTTTTCCCTCAGCCCTTGTGAGGAAATATAAAGTAAGAACAACAATCCCACCTCTTTAGTAGTACAAATTGAAGCCCTGATATAAACCAATGGGTTCTAATGACTTAACTTAAGAAAAATTCTAGTGGTATAAATTGAAGCACCTAATATAAACCAATTGGTTCTAATGACTCGACTTGTTGAGAAATGTCCATATATGATACTTAACTACTTCTTTAGACGCTTAAGTCATGGACTTGTGAGATTTGCACATGTCTAGAGGTGTGCAATGGTTCCACCCGGACCAAACTCAAGAGAACAACGGTACATTAGTGAAAGACATCTTAGGACCAAGGACCAGACCATCATTACACTCGCTAAATTCGGTCCGACCCAAAAATCAATTCGATCTTATTTTCCTCGGTAACTATTAAATTCATCGGACCAAAGACCAGACCTCACTATACTCGGTACGGTGCGGTCCAGTACTTACCAGACCATTACGCACTCTTACACACGTCTACTATAATGTGTTTTAAACATAGTGATTAATATTGAGGGTCATGAGAACTTAAACACATGAATTCAATAACAAACCAACTCTGATACAGTATCATAAACTTACTGTTTTCACTAACTCGAATTGTTTGGAAAAATCATGTCTCCTATTTTTATCACTTTCTTATACTCCAATACAATGCAGTCTGGAGCATATTAGATGAGCTACTAGCCTACTACTACAAATTGGACTTCGTTGTCTTCAATTCCAGCTATACTGGACATCAACTAATGTGCTGTATGGCCTTAGGCCCAGAGCCGCTAATATTATCTAGTGGGCCACTGTGGCATCGCATGCTGGGCTGAAAACAATACAAAGCCCTTTGCTTGTTTCCAAAGAAATGTGTAATTGGCTAATTGCTTGTTGAATCCAATAGATAACAGTAACACGCATCACTTAATGATCATTAGCTGATTAATCACACGCATAATTAAGTCTCCTAATCACTTTGAAAGATTAAATTCGATTTGCTCTAAAACGACGGCAGATAATTCATAATTGTAATCAAACGATTCCTTTGTTTAGTAGTATAATAAAACCAAAGTTAAACCAGCTGTCGACTACATAGTCAAACGAAGAGCCAGCAATCAAAGCAGAATAGCCGAACAGCAATCCTCGATCCAACGGGCCCCTTAGAAAACAAGTTCCAAGGTCCATAAATTTCGGCCCACCAGGCCAAATCTAATTGGGCCTAACTCTGTGGTTGAGAAGCATTTCCCGGAGCTCCACCGGATCGATCTCCGCAGCGGAATTACCCGGCCTATAGTATCCGGTCACCGGGTCGGGTCCCCACGCAGATGCAGCACCGGAATCCTCCTTCACCACCGCTGCAGGCGACCTCTCTTCCACTGCTTTCCCCACCATATTTCCCGCCGGCACTCGGCCCAACGCCGACGACGCAGCTCCCAACGGCGCCGCAGCAGAT